GATGATGATGTATCTGGTGGTTGTAAAACTTCTGTAGAGTTTTGGTTGATCGATCGATACGTGTGCCGCCTTTTCACAGCTATGGACCTTTCCTATGTTACTGCTTCACTTGACTAGAGAGAGGAGTCCCTTCTTTTCTTCCCCCTAGGTGAATGTGTGGATCCGACATGAGCCGTTGAGGCAAGGCATGAGAGGGAGTTGTCCTTGCCACCTAGAGAGTGAGAGTGTGGTGAGATGTGTGTGATGGGATGGGAGAATGTGTGTGGATGAGATGGATTAAAACTTGTGAAATAATTATAAAATAATGATGAACTACGCATAGGAAAACTACAGCCACAATAGTATCTTTTGTTCTACCCTTGCATTTCCACTTGCCACAAAGCAAACGCAAAGCATAGGGTGGGAGCCAGTGGCCAGTACAAATCATACTAAAAGTTATTTGGCAGGTGTTGAGTATGATGACCAGCCCGATGGAGAGAAGGATTAGAGGCGTTGTCCTGTGCTTGAGTTTGGAGAAGGAGAAGATGCTTCTGCACCTTAGATGTTCACTCCGATGTTGTTTGAACTCTGATGATTCCGCCAAGTGGTGATGTAATAAATGTTAAACCTCTCTATTTGTACTTCTAAGATAGGTTTTCGATGTACGATCTTGTGATATCAGTTGTTGACTGATAATGTGATGGAATGATATTCTGGGACTATCATGTTATAAATCGTATCTATGAATTTCCCTTTGTGGAAATTGAGGATCGCTACAAGCACCCAAGGCTCGGGGGCTCCCTAGCGCTGCCTTGACCAACAGACGGGCGCTGCCTAGTTACACAAGAGGACAAATCCCTCCACCAGCTCTAGGGGCGCGGGGGCTCCCAGGCTTTCTCGTCAGCCTCCCGAGCCAGGCGCCTTCACCGCCAAGGAAGCCTCGAGAAGGATCACCCGGTGGAGGGCGGTCCAAGCAAACAGCCCTTGACGGTTAGAGAATCAGGGCTAGAAGATCCAGGCAGCACCCGAGGCTCCCCTGACTCCACAACAATGCTAGGGTCCATGCACGCCATAATAGCACCCACCTAGACTACGGCGCACGTAGACTACAGACTGAACCCCGAACCGCCTTGTATTCGACCTTCCTAGCTCGGAATATAAGGGGGAGGTCAGCTCCAAGAGAGGGGGAGGTCAAACTCACTGATCAGACCAGAGCACTCTGAGCTCCGCTCAGAGCAGAACAAGCCAAGAGGAATGACCGAGTGTTCCTCCCTTCGGCAACCCGGCAAGAGAGAGGAGCGTTCTTCTTTCTCACTGGGGAAGAAACCTCACCGTCGACGAGCCTTGGGATAGCACCGAGCAATCCAATGTCAAATCTCTCTCCTTCATTGCAAACCCCAAATTGGGTGCTCTAAAATACAAAGAACAACCACTGCTGGACGTAGGGCTCTGATAGCCTGAACTAGAATACATCGTCATGTCTTGTCTTGTGTTTTTGAGTCCACCGAGCCACCGAAGACTGTCGTTGTTTGACGACCAACAGCCTGTCATGGGGTTACCTAGGACAGAGTTTGGTGGGCTTCGACGTATATAGAACTAGGTGGTAAACGCGAAGACAAGCGATTTATACTAGTTCGAGCCCTCATGATCTAGTAATAGCCTTACGTCCAGTGCGACATGGTGCCTTTGCATAGGATTCTATGATTGAGATGTTGTACAAGGGGTGCTGCCTGCCTCTCTTTATATAATCCAGACGGCAGGGTAGTTATTCTAGTCCTAGTTAGTTACAATCAGATAGTCCTAGTTCTATTACAGAGACTATTTTCCCTAAATGTTGACTAGGTCGGTCCTTGAGTACTTGAAGATCACGCCACCTTGTTCCATGTCTTCAAGCAGACCTTGGGCTAGCCTAGGATTACACCGAGTAGTCGGCCCATTAGGGAACCCATAGAATCCTAATTCGTCAAGCTCCCAAGCTCTTCATGGTAGATCTTGGAAGTCTTCCTGAATTTCTTGGAGCATACCGAGTAGAATCAAGCTTCTTCCGAGTACTTTCTTGAGAGAGACCATGATGTGCTCTTGAAATCTATATGCGTCACCACTAGGTGAAGCATATATGCTTAGTCGCCAAGTCTCTTGCTATTTAGCACAAAAAGCTAGAGGGTCAATCTTTTAATTACTCTAATTCCTTTAAAAGAAAATTGAAAGCAACCACTGAGGATAGGTATCCCACAGCCCCCGAACCTAAATCCGAGTACTTTGTAGTCAATTATAGGATCATGTAGACATCCTCAAGGGTCCAGCTCAGTAACCTGACTAGCGGGCTATAAAAGGGACTGAATATGCAACATAAAATCTGAGCCCCCGAGTAAAGCTATAAAGCCCTCGAGTAAATCTCACACGGGACAAAGGCCGGTATCTTGAATATAGTTCAATCACTTGCAATAACAGAGCTTCAGGTGGGCAGCCATTTCAACAGGGACCCCATATCACCCACTCTGTATAAAGCAAGTAACCATCCATCTGACAAACCACATGAAAAGCAGTGAAAGGCTACATCCTTTGTTGTACTGTACAGTCACATGGAAGAATAGAATCTTGTCCTTGACACGTACTATAGGAGCGTGTCACCACTAACTCAGCATCCACTGTGAGCTCATGAATGCTTATCAGAAAGAGCATAACAACTCCATGAAATGAGTCTATGATAGACCATCATCATGCGATAAATACCCCCCTGATGAGCTAAATCAAATAACATTTCAGTAGAAGTTGTGAAACTTATCCTCCCACTATCAAATATGGTTGTGTCCGAGATGTCAGAGCCCCCAGGAGTAGTCGGATTAGTCTATAAATCTGTGTCTTGCAGCTAGAAGAACTCTTGTTATAGGTATTAGAGGCAGGCTAATCCCATGGTTGTGTTTAGTAGAGTAGCCCAGAACCGTAGCTAGAAGAACTCTTGTTATTGTTAGATGCACTAAGCACCTAACAGTCCTAGTTCTTCCATGACGCCACTCGATGTCTGTCCATGAAGGGTCGGCTGCCGATCCGAGTGAGTCCAGACGTCGAGAGCTAGGATTTGTAGGATGCGTAGCTAGCTAGCACCTCCTGCATACTAGCCGCCATGCTTTCAGCTGCATAAGTTTGATTCCTTTGTATGGACAAGAATTGTTTGCAGTTCTCCGCTCCATGCAAATTCTTAGGCTAGGCAGAGCTGCACTTCTCTCTAGACTTAGATGTATAGTTAGTCTATCCATGAAGCCAGGTACATCGAGTCGGGTACTTCCTGCCGAGTAGGTTCTAGAATGTTTGTATCTTGATATGGCCGAGTAGGCTTTGTACTTGTAACACTTGTAATCTATCCGAGTTTTGAATGAAAAATGTCTAAAAATCATCCAAATGTCTTTGGCATACTGTGTTGTGGTGTTGTAGACCTGACTAAATAATACTTGGTAGTCGACAGAACCGGGTAAATTGAAAGAAATCCGAGTACTGTGAGAACTGTAGCATTTAACCGAGTATTATTCTTGATAGGTTGACCAGATGTAGGAATATTGACCATCACAGCCATTAGGGTTTGACGCCATCACGTGTGAAACTGTGCACCGCCATAGTAATTTGGAAGACATCCATTGGCGCTATAATGGTAACAGATCCATGCTGAATTGGGACCCGAAGGCTCCTTAGTATCAAAGTTATCCCTTACAAAATTTGTTATAAATAAACCCCCTTGGGGTTAAGAAAAATCCTCCTCCTCTCGCCTTCTTTTCTCTATCTCTTGCGCTGCCACTTAGAGAGAGCGAACCCTAGGGAAGTAGCCCCCAGTGAATGGTAACAAAGAAGTGTGCCAATATTAGATCCATGGCGCCGCGAAAATAGAACCACCAAGAAACTTAGGAAGCAAGATCTCCATATGCAAGAAATCAGGGCGATGGCTCGCCCAATCCACTAGAGGCCCCCAGTGATAGCTTAGCCTGGAAGAATCCGACAACCACAGAAGCAAAACTGGAGAAGTTAGTGTCCAAGGGATTATTGCAGGAGAAATCCCTAGGCAAACTTCACTGTCGTTTCACACTTTGCACTGTCCAAGACTTCTATTGAGGACAACAATGATGAGGCCAAGGTCAACATGATCTTTGAATGATTTGTTTTATATAGATCCAAACAACAATACAAAGCGATGGAATGATAGGTTCGCTCCTTTATCCAACCACAACCACAAGTCCTAAAGTGGCCCAACAATGTCTATGTCATCATCAATCAATATGACTATCCTCTAATTCTTGGAAACCCTAGTCTCCTATGACCATCAATATTTTGAGGACCATAAATAGTCTTCAATCCTAATTAGTTTCTAAGATGTCTCTATTTCACACTTAACTTCAACAACAATCCATCCCTACATGGTCATGCTACATCATCAAGTTTGATGGTGATAGAGAACAACGACTTTGGCATGGATTATGGTTGTGCTATACCATAGAAGACTTTCCATTGGGAAACACAATGTTAGTATTCAGTTTTGTTGATTATGGCAAGGGGAGCATTTGCTATAGTTGCATGTGCCATTTTATATGGGAAGAAACTTACTAGATGCTTATGTTCTCTCATGTTTCGAGCCAACAACTAAAATTTTCTCATAAGATTCAAGGTCTTTACATGCATGATAAAAACTCCAAAGTGAAAATACCACCAAACATGGGATATTGATTCCAAAGCTAAGTGTTAATACTTTGCTTCTTCACTTATCAGCAGCATCACTTACCTAGAATAACAAATCATTATCTATCAATGACTGGAGAGATGTCCATATCATTTGTAAGCTACCCATAGGTTAAGAACCGCCGTGTAATAGGAATCCAACATAGGGGCATATATGGAATTAAGAAAAAAAGTGACGCTTACTTGAAAAGTTGGCAATCCAGTTGTTACTGTCCATAATAAATATAGGCCTCTCCGGCAGCACTGCCATATCGATCTTACTAGTCCCTTGATTAGACCCTAGTCTCTCCCATCGATCAATGGACTCAAACCAGAAACCGCTCCCATCGCCGCCGCCGCCACCACCACCACCACCAAAAAATGGTAACACCAGGGGCCGCCCACCTCTCATCTCCACGCAGCTACATGATGAAGGAGATGGCAGCGCTGTTGGAGTAGGCGATATGGAAGCTGCTGCTCTCCACCGTGGATCACCACGCGCATCGCGCCACGAGCTCTCCGGATCTGGCAGCCACGGGCTCTCCGGATCTGGTAGCCACGAGCTCTCTAGATCTGGCCATCGCCTTGAGGGCAAAGCTGAGGCACCTGCCGAGCAGTGTGGTTCGCCACCACGGTGCTCACGTGAGGTGGCTAGGCTGAGATTAGCTGGTCTTAGCACCATTGCTGCGGTGGACGACCGGCCTTACACTTGTGTCGATTGCTCCATGACCTTTGGTCGGGAGACGGTGCTGTGTGGGCACATGAGGTCGCACAAGCATGGCCACCTCTCCTCTAACTCTGAGGAGGATGCACCCACACCGAAGAGGAGAAGGAAGAAGCGGATGTCAAAGATGAGGACCGTGAAGCCGCTGGATGCAACATGGGGCAACCACGCCTGCCGCAACGGGTGCCCTAGAGATGCCCCTACTGAGGTAAAAGTTTCTGGATCTGAGTCTAATGGCACTATTCGCAACATAGCGGTCACCCTACACGACAACAACGAGGTCACAGAGAACGACCGCAACGGCGATGACATTCCCGTGATTGTCATTGACGACGACGATGACGATGCAAATCCTGTCATCGCTGTCGTGGGGTCTCCTGGAGCTCCTGGCCCAGCTCCTGATGTGGCGGCAGCTCTGGCCATGGCTCCAGCTCCAGCGGTGGCCGTGGCAACTCCTATGCTTGCACCTCATGCGGCCGCAACATTTGTGAACAATGAAGGAGCTCCTGCCGCTGCATCAACAACGGCAGTGACAATTCCACTAGCTGCGGCAGTGGCGACCATCACAAGAGCTGCTCTTGCCACCGCTGTGAGTGCGGGCACTCAAACTGCACCTAATCTGGTGAAGGGGAACAATGGCTCTGGTCAAGCTGGTGCTCGCTCTAAATATGATAGCAATGGTAAAGCTGTTGCTAGGAACAACAATAGTTGTGGCAAATCTCTCGCTGGTTGTGGCAATGCCGACTATGGAAAGGGTGTTGCTGGCTATAGCGATGTCGACTATAGAGGCAAAGGTGCTGCTGGCTGTAGCAGCGGCAGCCACACCTACAGCACCTCTACTGCCGCTAGAGGTGAGAGCAACAAAGGCTGTGGCAAGGTGTACAGTTGTCGTAAGTGTAAGAACACATTCTTCTCCACACCCCAGGCGCTAGGAGGCCACACTTCTAGTCATCACAAGATCATGGAGAAGAAGGGTAAGTCAAAGCTAGACATGCAGAGTGGTCCACACAAGTGCAAAGTGTGCAACCATGTGTGCCAGACAGAGCAGGAACTCCGTTTCCACATGATGATTGTGCACCCTCACCATGCTGTTGCTGCAGCTGCTGCTAAGGAAAAGCCCTTCGAAGCGACAGGGATCAACAACATAGATGCAGCTCTGGATGGCCCTTACAATACCATGGGTTGGCAGATCCTGGCTGGCGCTCCCAGAAGCGCCATCCTCGCGCTTCTTGCATCAATGGCGCCAGTGCACCAGCCACCTCAAGGAACCATGGCTATGACTAGCAATCCTATGACTAGTCATTTTTCAGCTGCCAACACGTCCACTGGCTGCCCACTCCGTGAAACTACCAGCAGCATCCTTCCGGCAACCCCCTTGCACAATCAAGAGGAGAATCCACCGGAACAGATTGCAGTAGTGGCGCCCGGAAACAATGGACACCACAGCATCAATCCTGCATTATTCTCATTCTCAAGAAGACAAGAGATAGCAGTGGTGCCTGGCAATGCCATTGCCAGTAGCTCCTCCACTCCTCGTCCTGGCATTGCTACTGCTATTGATGCCCCTGCCAATACCATGGGCTGCCGCTTGCCATTTTTCCTAACTGGCAGAAGTGTCATCCATGCCCCTCCTGTGTCGATGCCGGTGCACCAGCCAACTCAAGGGATGGCGGCTATGGCTGGCAATCCAGTGACTGGTCATTTCCCAGCTGCTATGGCTGGCGATTGGTACTCATTCCCTGCAACTACCAGCAGCGTCCTCCCTGCAATTCCCTTGCAGACTCAAGACGAGAATCCACCACAAGCGAGAGTGGTGCCTGCAAATGGTGAGCATCCCTCCACCCATCTCATTGGCTCCAAAACCTTCTCTACATTTCCCTCACAGTTTTTTTGAACAGAAATGGCAGACTCCTCACAGAATCAAGCGGAGAATCCACCAGAGCAGACAGTGCCTGGCAACAACGGAGGTCGCACCATTCTTCTCTTTGGCACCAGAATTGCTGAAGGTCAGAAAGAAGTCAAAGATTAATAAGTCCATCAGGACTCATGCTCGGCATAATATTTCTTTCCATTAAACATTACTTTTTTCGTTCAAAAAATACTTAGTTCAAGCAAGACTTGTAGTCTTTGGTATTTGAATAAGGTTGTGTGTTTTATTTGACCAGACAATTTTTATGTTTTATCTCGATACCATACCTGATAAACACTTGTATGGTTTATCTGACGGAATAAGCTTGTACTGGATGTTTGAACAACTTATGGTTTTTTCTGTTACCCTACCCATACAAAATGAGCATGTAACTTCATATTGTGTTGCTCATCTTCATGTTGTTCTCTAAATAAATACCAAGGTTATGTCAGAATCAATCGGAATGAATCACACCTTCCATGTTTACAGTTGAAACTGGAAAAGCTTTGAGGTCAGAGTCTTTTGACCAGATGGAGTTAGCATCATGGACATCATTTAGCATATGAATTGAACATTGCCACTGAAGATCATATATTTTGAATGGTGAGCCTTGCGGCTATCATTCCAATATTATGTTCTACAAACTTGATACCATTGTTTAGCCTTTCAAGGGTGTCTATCGAATCCATTGCTTGTATCTTGTAGTTTTGCAGGGTGAGAAGTTCTTCATCTGACATGCCTGTAGTGTACAGTTTAAAAGTTAGATACCTACGAATATACGGATCAGGTATGACGGCGGTTGATGTATGCGTGCATCATCTCTTTGGATGGTCGTCATATGTAAAACAGATATTTCTCATTTATAGAATATATAGATGTGCAGTGAAAGTTTGATCAATATGATAAGACCTGAATATTTTGTACTAGATCGATGAAATCAGAATGAAATGTCACCTGAAACTGTTTGGTATGCAGCAAATGAGAGACGTTCTGGGTGTCCAGGGATAAAAGATTCATTATACTCTTCAAAAATTTCTTTTTCAGACCACAACAGAGATGCCCTGATGTTAGTTTGCAGTGGTTCATCCTCAGGTACCTAAATTTGAAATGTTGAAATAAGAAATGACTAGGATAAGAAACAATATTCAACATGTTCAAATTGCTGAATGGGATTAAGGTAGTGATCGAACCTTCAACTTCATTTGTAGGCTGTGTAAATTGCACATGGATTCTTTTAGCTTGGAAATTCTTGTCCCTAATTCAATAGCTTCATAAGGCTCATCCATCATTGGAGAAACTGTACCACGGAAATAGGGCTCCATCTGGGTCCACAAAGACAAAGATGTGGTTCAGGGCTTCTATGATTTCTTCTTGCCAGTATCAGAATACCTTTTTTGAACAAAAAAGCAGGAGCTCTGCCGCTCAATTAAGAAGAATAGAAGTTCATACAAAGCCGTGATGCACCCGCACAACAGTTCAGTCGCTATAGCACTTAGCGACTAAGCCCGTCGGCTTCGACTTCCCATGGTGGACCCTTACCCAAAGCCACCAAGACACCGCCACCTGCGCATAACTGGCTCCACTAATACACCTAGGAAGATCCTAACACATGTCATCATCGCTGAGCTTCGTCATGCCTCCAATGAAGCAGCTCCAACTCAGAATACTTAAGAAGTGGTATAAAAACGTTCTGATCTACTGCGCTTATAGCTTTAATAAATAAGGTTACAGAACCAGAGCATGTGGGCAATTCAATCCGAACTGGAAGGTGAAAGTTTTGTTCAAACTTCATAATACAAGGGATAGTGAGATTGAGGCAGTCCAACTATAACACTAGCATTCAGCTGTTCACATCTCCCATCCCTCACAAGATATCAAAAGTAATTGAGCTGTTCATATATCAAACAAAAGTCGGCCTTCGAAGGTATTATAAAGTCAATTTATAGAAAATGTTAAGTAGTATACAAATATATATACTTAAAAGTACCCGATAATTAATATGATATGATTTTAACATCAACAATGGAATAACATTTCAAAACTAGAAAAGAAAGAAAGAGCTTACATCCAAAAGATTTGAAATGTTTACACGGCACACTCCTCTAATTGATATTAGTGCTCCAATCTCCAGCTTTTGAACCTACACTAAAGACAGACCATTGATACAAAATGTGGCAGGAAAAAAGACAGGAGTGAGATCCTGTAAGTAAACTTATAGAAAGGCGTTGCATGAAGGACAATAGCTTACACTTTCTATGTGGACCAAGCAACCATATCTTACAGCAAATGAAGCTTTAGTAGTGCTGTCTACAACTGGATCAAGCACAAAGTGAACAAAAGAATTTTTCCTCTTGTACAAGGCCTGTTAAGTAAGTATTAGAAATAAATCAGTAAGGATGTTGCATAACACTCTACTCATGGTTTGAGTTGTTAGTATCCTACCAAAGAAATATGGAGATCTTGTGTTTCAAGAATGATGCACCAAAATGGCATATATAAGGTTCTCAATACCCTCAACTACAATTTCACCAACTGTCCACGCTTTCTTCCAGTCAACATTAAAACCATATTACTTAAATTTTTTGTCAAACCATGTTTCTAAGTCTGTGTTCCCTTGGATCCAAGAAAAACTAACAAATCTTAAAAGAAAATTAGGTGGACACAAATTTGATAAACAAACAAAAAGAAGATTTAGTCTCAAGAAAAAAGAAATGTATTTCTTCATCATGGCTAATTGTTACAAGTATGTATCATCAAGAATATCTGATCATGTGGACTAGTAATAATTAGCTTATTACTTGTGATGTTCTGGAGTTTCTGGTTATTAATCGTTTTAGGTGCGTGTTAGTCTAGGTTAGTTGCATTTGCATGAATCAAGTAGTTTAGTCCCAGATTAATCGACTGGTGCATTCTCTTATCCCAGTTTCTGATAACTGAGACTTTCTGTATTTCCGTTATTCAATAATGGAAATGGGGTGTATCCTCATTTTGAAGGAAAAAGGAAAGAAATAATGTACTGAACAAAAATCCGTACCTCCTCTAGCAATGCTATATATCTTGCTTCATACAAGTGTAGAGTCTTGGATTCAAATGGTATCAGCACCTATAACATTTTCATTATCTTAGCAGAATCCCACAGATTTTACTGATAATGCAAACTGCTGATTAATCTGTTAATGAAATGACATGCAGCTCTCTTGCATCGTTTCAGGAAAAAAAATGAAAAATAACAGATTGAAGGAACTTATAGCAATTTAGAAAATTCATATGATACTGCAAGATTTTTGAACAGATAGAATGCACAATACGAATTCAATAGATAAGATCCGAAAGTAGTCTCCAAAATTAATATCTGGAAATGCTAAAATGCTTGTCTTCGGACAAGATTTGGAAACAAATGCCTGTCCTCTGCCAGAAGAGATTTGGAAACAGATGCTACTGTCGTCTTCCTTAGTGCTGAAAAACTGTCAACTCTGGGCCACAGAGCAAACTCTGCCATCGCTAAGTCTTGCATTGAGTCTTCAGGCATTCTTCTGTTTTGTAATCCTCTCCCTTTTTCGCTAGCTGTTTGCTGTCTTGCTCCCTGTCTCACCTACCTGTAAGGGTTCAGCCTCTAATGCAATTGCTTTGGTTTCCTGCAGTATCTCAATTTATCATTCAAGATGGCACTTCAAATGGGTCCGACATAGTTGCCGTAAACAAATCACCAAAATTAGTAAGAAATCTTCAGTTATTAGAAATGAAACACATGGTGCAGTGCAGCCAATGCAAAATTCTGGTTCACCATCGTAGAACTGGTTGGTTGGTTCTGTGGTTCATTTTTCAGGGACCAACTGATTGCACTCGACGGAATGGACCATTCACTCCTCTGAATAATCTACATCAACGTTGGCAACGGAAGACTAAAGAATCGGGTTTGACTGAAATCTGAACAACCAGACAACTATCCTATCCAAAATATCTTACCTCCGCGGGCTGGAACGGGAGGAGCGGGAGGTCGAGAGACGGCGGCGGCGGGGACAACGCGCAGCGGACGGAGCGGAGATGGTGGTGGCGCGCCGGCGACGCGTGGAGGGGCGGTCCGGGTCTGGGGCTCGGATCTTGTGGCGGCCATGGCGAGCGGGAGGGGGAGAGCAGGCGGATGGGAGCGGAGGCCGCCATGGCCGCTGCCGGGGTGGAGGGGGTTTCAGCGGCTGGGAATGACCAGTGGGTTGGCGGGAGAGCAAACGGAGATTAGGGCTTGTTTGGATCGCGGCCTCGCTGGGGAGCCCCGCCCAGGAAAGGTCGATCCAGCCCCAGACGCTGGAAATCGACGGCCTGGGGAAGCTGTCTGGCTAGGCGTCGTTTTCAGGTATCGATCAAACAGGCCCATAATGCTAAAAGCAAGCATTTTCCTATTCTCTTTTTTTTTCCTTGGTCGTTGCAGTTGAAGTTGAATTGGGGAAAAATTGAAGTACTAATATAATTTCTTTGCTGGCAAAATTAGAAGGGTCAATATGTCCAGCTGTGAAAGTGTTTGGCATACAAAGGTTTACACCTGTCACTTGGTGGATGGAGTTATTAATACTATATTATATTATATTATATTATATTCCATATATAAAATAATGGGCCAAGTTTTTTTCACTCATGCATGGTTTGCTCTTTTGTTCTAAAATAATCTATACTAATAATATTATAGAGCCAAATTTTTTCCTCTATTTTTTTTTGTTGGACTCCACTAACTAACTTTGTGAACGTACTTCAGACCTATATACAATCATATTTTGATGATATATGCAGGGCTTCTTGAGTTAACCTGGAAAAATAACTTAAGAATCCTAATCCAACACCACCGATCCTGAATTAAAAATCCTAATCCAAAAAGTGTGCCATTTTTCCGTGTTCGTTTCAGTTTTCGTTTCTTTTTTCCTTGTCTGTGTTTCTTACCAACTCAACCATCTGCAGCTATCCGTATCCTACTCTTCTCCAATTCCGTCAAGGACATATCATAATCGACAAGAACGAGAGTTCTCTAGAATCCCAATTCATCACCAAACAAAAACTGATAAAAAAAGAAACGTGAGCTGAATCGGATTTTTTTCCCGTTTCATGGTTTCATTTTTTCGGATGTTCCATGT